TTCATGCAATATCGAATGTATGCTGGTGGGAGAAATGCATAGGCATGCTTCTATCTGAAGGTATGTTACATGACGGTCTTGCATTATCAGTTCACGTACGGCATCGATGTTTTCTGGCACAACGGCTGTTTTTGGACGACMTTCACGGAATTCGTTTTTGAGCGAGCGTCGGCCACGATTGAATTCGTTGTACCAATTTTTCACAGTGCTATTGGTTGGTGCTTYATAGCCATACAAAGATTTCAGTTCATTAATGCACTCTTGTCATGATAATCCACGTCGAAAGTTGTGAAAAATGATCGCACGAAAATGTTCACGAGTTAATTCCATTTTTTGGCCGAGATGATTTTTTTAATTTCCTGTAAATAAAACAATTCACGATTAAATGACAAAACGTTCTGAGTGATGTTATGCTAAAAAATGTCAAACTTTCCAATGGAAATGTTAATTGCACCTGGCAACACTTAGTGTTTCCTAGGCCAGAAATATATATAGCAGCCTCCGTAATATGCATACAGGAATGCAAATATGCGTCATATATAATGATAATGAGCGACAAACATTTCGCCTTCTGAACGCCCTCTTTCCTTTACAAATTAACAAAAACAAAGTTTAAAAAATTTAACTGACAAATAGTTGCTATTCATATATTGAGAAAATTAATTTTAAACAGTTCTAGGTTAGCGCTTAACGCCTATTGAGAAAACGACCCTGTGAACGTCATGAATAGTTATTCCGAAGGTTAAATAATTATAATATGTCATGAAATAAAAATATGGTCTATAAGAAAATTTGGGTATAAATATCGACGTTTTACAAAAAGATTTAAGGTTTGATTTGATTTTTCACTTWACGATCATATGGAATATACGATTTTAAATCAAGAAATTATAAATCGGTCTATAAATCGATAACAAATTCTTATTTATTTTGTAGCCTGGTCCTAAATTTTTGGCAGTACCTGTTACGTTACGAATTGTTTTCATACCGATATTCCTATATTGCAACTACCATCCTCTTAATATAACTAGAACACTACCGGTCTTAATAAAAAACGAATGGATATACTGGTTTATTGCTACTTTAATGTCATGGAGTTCAGGATATTTAAGGTAAGTTTAAAATTAACTAATGGCAAAATGCCACGACTTCTCAAATTTGCAAAAAATAAATATTATATGCAAATAAGGTCACTTCAAGTCATTGAAATGGTATATGTTAAATTTTGTGCATACAACATTTTTTTTTTTGCTTTTGCGGTCCTCACCATGTTTACTTTATATAGCTAAATTATTCTCCACAAATTTAATATAAAACAAAAATTATTTTTGGAAATTGTTCAAAGTAAATTATCTACAGTCCTTATAAGAATATAAGTCGAAATAAATAAGATATCTAAATGGAGTTCAGAAGGTATCCTTTGAATAAATACTTCCCTTAGGTCTAATATTCCTAGCATTACGTTTTTCAAACAACTTTCTGTTGCCTTTATAGCAAATATATTGGGGATCACAAATGAGTACATGTTGTTGTTGTTGTTGTAACGGCAGAATTCTGCCGAGTTGACAATCCTTGGCCGGATAAAAATCCGGGTCCGTTCCGGTTTTCGTAGACCCGACTATCGTGGGAACGACAAATGAGTACATGTTTATACCTGGTAGGTACAAGGGTTCTAGTCCTAACATCCTGGTAATTTCTGACTAACGATTGAGTTGTAGTTTTGGCTTCTAAGTAGCAGAGAAGATGTGATGTTCTCACTGATGTCCTTCGTGGGTAGGTAGATAAGTAATTCCAATTCTTTTCCTGAACAAAGCTTAGCGTTCGCATAAAATCTCCTTTTCTTCTACTTCTTAACAGTTTCTATAATAGTAATTGTATGTTATTATAATGTTTATTTAAACATTGTACTATAGTTATATGAAGTTCCAGAATGAACTTCATTGTTACATTTGACATTTCGATAGTTATTCAGTGAGTTCAGCTAAGTTGTAAAAACACTCAACGTCCTTTGTTTTAGATTTGCTTGTGTAGAGAGGRCACCTGTAGTGCTGAGAAGCTAATATTTTCTAAAACGAGATTTCTTACAGGTTAACAGGGTATAGGTTTTTAGAATAAAAGTTATTGGGTTACGGTGTCACTGATAGGTGGAGTTTCTTCTGAAATTATTTCCTTGAATAGCCGATCGTCACCATCGTTTTTGACCCTCACTCTCAGACATGGGTTTTTCCACTGATAGGTAGATTCCATTGCCTCTGTAAGCTGTGAGAGAAAGTACGGCTATGTGAATGCCTCTTAAGGACTCCCAGTATCTACAGTTGCGTGGATTTTAAAGCAGATCGAACATGTCCAGAATTTCTACTCGTATGGTAAACGAATTTGAGTCGACTCAGGGTTCCTTACTCTGCTTCAGTTCCTGCTGCCCTCAAGGATTCAGTACCAATTTCATGATGACCTCGGTGGCCACTAATTGGGATAACATTTACATTGAAAAGTAAACATGCATGATGTTCAGTCRAAATTATTATATTTTTTATTAGTAGTTTTTAGAGCAAAAATTAAGTGGATGGAGACAAAACGGATTAGAAAAACTGCACCGGTTACGGGTTTCAGCTAACGGATTTGGATATGTACAGCAACCCTGCTAAATGTTCCCTGAGGATGACAGATTCAACTTGTTACTTACCGATCAAAACATGTTTAGATCACCGAAAGGACTCTTCTTGGCCGAATAAAATTCGGATCAAGACAGATAACGGCTTTTATGGAAACAAAATTTAAGAGTGCTATAACGCATTATYATGTTTAATTTGTCAACAGTCTTTTATATTTTTAATTAGAAAAAATGATTTCTGTCGCTTAACTCAGAAGTATTATTCACATATGTACATATATACATCGTTAGCTTAGCGTTTTTTTTATTTTGAATTATTTTATTTCGAAATGTATACAGAAAGCTTATCGGAGAGAGATTCTTGACTTTTCTTTAATCATAACATACATTTCTTAAATAGTTCTTAAATAAAACATAAGTCAATTAAATTATATCATCTAATCATGAATATAGTTTTTAATTTATTACATTTAATGAGTAAAACGCAAACTAGCTTTTCAGCTTTTCGGCTTATACAAAAGCCGCCGATTTAATTGTTTTTAAAGTAATAACGCGACTAAACTTCGTGTTTAAATTAAAAAAATTATAGTGTAAATGAGATTAAATTAAAAAAATATAATTTTTTCATCGGTTGGCAGTCCCTTGCTTTCTAGCACTTTTTGTAAAGATCACTAACTTTCTAAAGAATTTGTCTATAGCTGAACTTGTTTTATTTTTAATATTTTAGATAAATAACATGTCATTAACTTATTAAAAAAACTTCTATGACGCTTTCATTTTCATTCCGTTATATGGGAATGTCAGGATGGTGTCATGTAACGAATTTGGTGGAAATTCGCCGGGTAAATCCAGAGATATGTTTATTTCGTGAATTATCGTAACTTTAGTAGCTTTCGACAATACTCTCATATACCTATGTACATATATACCTATGTATTTTTTGTTGATATAGCTTAGAGGCTTGTGAGATATGTATATAAATCCTAAAAGCTYCTCACCATTATTATGACGTGCACTAAATTACAGTTTTATATCTAAGCTTGAAGTTATTGGTTTAGGCATTTTATAGTTTGTCGATTGGTGTTTTGGGGGCGTAGCAATTGTGCGATTCCACGTGTATGCAATATCAACCTCATCCGGATTTCAAGGCACATATATATGAAAATTCTAAAATATTTCATTTTTCCTCAAAAGTCAGTCAACCAAAATTCAAAAATTCGCCTATCTCGATTAGCTTGTTTGTCCATTCAAAACATTGATGTTTCAGTCGTATGATGCATCGAATAAAAATCAAAGCATCGAAAGTATCACTCTACCAAAAGTTTAGGACATTTACTTATGTAAGTTTCGAAAGAGAAAGAAAACTTAATTAACTTAACTTAAAAAAAATAAATTTGAAGATTAACAGTTTTTATTAAAGAATTTAAAAATAATGGTATTCAGCAGTTGAAGTTAATAAAAATATTTTTTACAATCCCCAATATCGTTTCCCTAGGCTTTGCAAAAATAAAATTTTATTGAATCTTTTAAAATTTTTTACTATTAGCTTTGTTTGCTCACTGTCTGTTAAGCTTTCGTAAATAAACGTTCAGATGGAACTGATGTAGCAATATAGATGTGTATAAGAGACAGGATCTATCATCAACTGTCGGTTTTGCGACAAGGACCCTGAAACTCCGGAGCACCTGTTAATCGACTGCATTGCAGTCTGTAGGCGCAGGTCGAAGGCCCTTGGAGCCATGTTTCCGGATAGGGATCACATCGCCTCGCTAGCACCCAGCAGAATACTGGACTTCATCAATATGCTGGGGCTAAGCTAGTCCCTGTGAGTTAGGTGAGGGCACAATAGACCTAAGGTCGCAGTGCATTCCTCAATTATTTATCTATCTATCTATCTATCTAGCACTTAAAATTAAACGAGTTATAGGGTTATATGCATATAAATAGATGACAAGACGAGTTAAAATCCGATTGAATGTCTGTCTATCCGTCCTTGGTACAAAACAAAGCTCGAGTTCGTAACAACAACCACATTCGCCAAAATATTGAAAGAAGCCTTTTCGCACTTTTAATCAAACTTCAACTTAGATTTTTTTATATTTATATTTATAAATGAATAAACAAATATGTACCATTTTGATCGACCACTTTTCCGCTAGAGATATTATTCTATCAGTGTAAATCGAAGTTTAAAAATTTTCAGTACGGAAGCGAGCGCGCCATTGTTGTGCTACATGAACTGATACAGCATCGTCGCCGTAAACTTGTGTGGCATACTTCCATTTTTTATAAAAAAATTCTAAAATATGGCGAATTCCTTCATTATTTTCATTACTTTGTGAACAGCTGTAACTTTTTTGAAATGAAGATTAGAATCTCACCCTWCCAAACCTATATGACATGACACAATGTGATTGGTAACACTGGAGATATACGACTAAAACGACATCTATTGACAAAATACGTAAATACTTTYTCGACTATTAAATATTATAAGAACTACTACTGACAGTTTCAAATTGAATATAACCGAATAATAACCCAGCTCACTCCCTACATATGTATATAATATATAGTAAGGCACTGTGAAAAGCTACGAAAAGCGCGATAACTCAATAASTAATTACGGCAGAGATTAAATGTTACCCACGAGATGGTATGAGAGGGCTTTATGGGAGCCAGGGCCAAAATTGAACAATGGGCGTGGCACCGCCTACTTTTRGGTGAAAWCAGATATCTCGGTACCCGACCGACCGATTTCGACTATATTTAGCACGTAGTAAATTTGGTTCTTGAACTGTTTGGGAATTTGACGACAATATTTCATGAGCAGAAGGGAAGTAGAAAATATAATATTTTGAACAAATGAATTTTAGGAAGACAATTGTTTCATATTTTATGATTCAAGACCTAARTAATTTTTGAATAATGATCGATAATAACAGATCGAGGGCACTAATTTTATTAGGACTCCTAAAGAAAGTGAATTAATTTAATTTATTTAAAATATTCCACCTTATGACCAAAAATTGTCCAAATCCAAGCAAAACTGTTAAAGCCCCTAGATACCGAATATTTGGACCCCAGTATCTATAGTTGACTGTTGACCGAAAATATGGGTCAATGTGTGAGTTATACAATTCAAACTTTAACAGAAACGAACCTCTTGTAGTAGTTGAATCTTCCAGCACCGCCGACAAATTCCCATCTGTTTCTCTTGTGTGTCTTTGAAATAGTGGCACTCCCAATTTTTATTTTACAAAACGTCACAATTGATAAAGAAAATGGAAACGCTTTGCACAATAATTTTAATAAAAATACAAAATTAAGAAATGCGATCAGCTACTTAAAGAATTTCCAGACCACGTGAGGCAGAAATTAAATTTTGCAAGCACTTTTCAGTTACTAAAATATACAGATGCAATGTTTTTTAACTTTTATTGGTTCGTAATAGCTTTTATCCCACAAAGCACTTCTCTTTAGAATTTCCGAAATTACAATGTTCATTTACAATATGGTACTTCTTGTACGATACTGCGGGCAAAATCAAATTAGTTTGATTCTTAATAAATGTGTGCAATGCGGCGATGTCGAAAATCGTGCTTCGGTTGGACATCTATATTTGCAAACATATGCTTGCATTTATGATCCACCCGAATTTAAGGAACCGCAGCGTCCGCACAACATTGGCGTTCCTACGCTGCACATGCCGTTAGACCGCTAAAGCGGGGCATTTAAAATGGAAGTGTTGAGATACTTCTATCTCATTTTATCCTAACAGCTAATGCAACTGACACCCTTTAAGATGTCCTACTGTATGAACCCCGAAAGTTAGAAATCCTATAACCATATAAACATATTTAAAGTTAATTTTTGTTAAAATCTTATGTTTTCATTTCCAGTTTTTATTTCCTGCCCCTTACATATATCATGCAGTTAAAAAAAAAAAAAGAATCCTAAATCAATATACAGTTTAAATAAATGACTTGATATGAATATGCTAAAAAAATACTCCTAACAATTTAAAACCATAAAAAACACAAATTTTGTGTCAAAGCATATTTAATGAAGCAATGCATTTTTTTCTTCAGCAAAATTAAGTGTCTTTATAAATTAGGTATAAATTGTTTTACCTACACACCTCTTAATGCGGCATTTTGTTATCCCAAAAGCACATAAATTTTCAATCACAAAATATTGGAATATTCCAAACTTTTCAGCACTTGAGAGTCAGCTTTTTTTT